TGTTATTTGTTTATGTAAATAGGATGAACATTTTCTACCTTTGTTCTTTTGTTTCTGCATAATATCCAGACATGCAGTTTGTTTCATTTTAATTTTCAGATTTAAATTTATAAGTTTCCAGACTTTAATCATTTCATAGTTTCTTCTTCAATTTTAGTTGTCATTATGGGCTGCATAGTTGAAATCATTGTCTGTTATTTTACTTATTCTGTTGTCCGCGAATTTAATCTTTATGGCATGTTATTTTCTGTTAATTACTTCATATTAGTTTAATTGCTTTAGGATACTGCATTTATTTTAGGATTTGTAGCTGTTATTACACTTGTCTGGTTGTGAAGTCCTTGAAGGTTTCCAAGGCAATTAGTAACCCATTTTGCAAAGCCCTACCCTCTGTTTTGCAACATCGTCTAGGGGTGCAATTGATTTCACAGACGTTCTTTCCAGCCATCCCATTGGAGGTCGACCGCTGGAAAGGAGAAGGGTCGTCTGGAAAATCCTATTTTCTTGTTTTTAGACAAAACAAGTGGCACGCCTAACATCCAACTCACGTGGTAAAGGCCGGCTGAGGATTTTTGGGGAAACATTGTCAAATTCGGACAACACAGCCACCAATTTATTGATGAAATTTCAAGCTTGGAGGAGCTGTCAACATACCAGAATTTCCAGTTGCAGAACCGGACCTAGCAGGGGGGAGAGGCCGGCTGCAATTGTAGAAAATTTAGGGGGAAATTCGGGAAATCTACCCAAAAATTGGAGAAACCAAGAGAAATCAAAGTTAACCCAAGCCAATTTAAGGAAGAACAAAGGAATTAGGGGCTGTTTCTTACCCAAAAATTAGAGGAATTTGCACCAACACCAAGAGCAGCAGACGGTGAGGAGCAAAGCAAAGTAGATTCGGGATTTTTGCAGAGTGGGAGGGAGATTTCTAAGCTCAAATATGGTTTTTGGACAAGAAAAGAAGGGGAAAATCCAAGATTTCTCACTGGTTTTTCTCAAGGCTGATGCCGACGGCTTGGAGGGGCTTTCGGGTGCAGGGGAGAAGAAAAGAAGAGTAGATGTGCGGGCTGAAGAAGGAGAAAGAAGAAAAAAGAAATAAGCCATCCTTATCCAAATGTCTTTCACTTTTAAGTCCCTCAACTTTCAAAATGTTGGCCATCAAACCCCAAATAATATTTTCTCACAAGTTAGTCCTTAACTTATATATTCCCGAAAATTTGGGGTATTACAATGATTCACCCACTTGGGTGCAATGCCGTTTTCTATGAATAATTCCTCTGTATCTTTTCTAAATAAGATACTTATCCATGAAGCCATTCTTGATAGGATGGGATCGCACTTTGCGTCAATGATGCCATTCTCTATTCCAACACTTAGTACACAAAAACCTCTTAGTACACAAAAACCTCTTAGTACACAAAAACCAAATCATATTCTTTGCACAAAACATTGGGGTTTGTTTGTGAGAATGCAAAATCTAAGAAAATCTCTACCCCAACATCAAATTGATTGTTCTAATACCCCAACTCATCTCGACGACGATACATCCAACTCCAGTCTCCTTCCATAATTAAGTAGTGAGCGCCTTAAAAATTCATCAATATCTTAATATTATATAACAAGCATTAGAATCATAAATAAAATTTTAAAATGGCCAAATATCTATTTTGGTCCATCAACTTTAAAATTTACACAATTTTCATCCCCTAATTTTTTATGCACTCGAGGGACTAAAAATGTGCTAAACAAACTTAATGGACAAATAGATGGAAGGATTAAAAATGGTTGAGGGACAAAAATTATGCAAAATTTTAAAGTTGAAGGATCAAAATTAGCATTTGACCTTTTAAAATTACATACACTACAATAATATAATTACAATTTTAACCAACTGTAAATATATCTAATTTAATTTGATCTTTATAATTAATTAAAAAATAATGAAAGTTAATTTGTTATATATTAATTATTATCATTTATTTTTATAAAATATAAATACAATAAAAAATATGTTGTTAAAAATTTTTAATTATTACATTTTAATTATTATAATTTAATTTGTTATATCTTAATTATAATATAATTTAATTTG